CAAGACCGAGAGAGAGAGAGAGAGAGAGAGAGAGAGAGAGAGAGAGAGAGAGAGAGAGAGAGACCGAGTGGGGAAGGACATGAGGTGAAGCTACAGGTTGGACCTCAGTCGGGTGCACTAACCATTGGACTGGACTGAGAACCTACACAGACATCAGTTTCAGGTTGTTGGGAACACTTTACTAAAACTGATGTAGTCGTAAACTTTGGCTGTGGAATAAATCAAACAATCGTGAAGGTTTTGTTGGATTTGTTTGACTATCCTCAACTACAGTGACTTCATTATGTCCAACCCATTTTTATCAATCAGGGTGAGCTAAAACCTTTAGAGTTCAACAACAGCACAAACTGCAGCCTCCACAGTGACCATACATTTGAATCAACAACTCTCAAAGTTTCAACAAAAATTGAACTTTATAACCGTCATGGAGGTGGAAGGAATGTTGGATTAGATTTAATTATTTTCAGCTTAGTGCACCTTGTAAACAAACAGCTAGGTATAATCAGCTACAATCGGCTGGGGGACAACTTACCGTCATGTTCATTAAGACCTTCTGATTGGTGGTGTCGAATTGTACAGTGACAGAATGTATCCCATCGTCCATGACAACGACGGAACGAGGGAAGAGGAAGAAGGCCACAAGGGAGGAAGCCAGGAAGCACAGCACGATTGACAGGACCACATACAGCTTCCTGTGATACAACAAAATAAACGAGGCAGTTTGTAGTTTTTCTGAAACAATTTGATTTGTAACATTGGCACAGAAATACAGACTGTATATAAGTATGTTTTTTGACTTACGTTCTTTGTGGCTGCAGCCTTTGGTCGCTGTATGGGATCAATGCAACCAGCTCATTCACTTGATCTAGAAAAACAAAGACAAACAGGTCATGCAACACATTGATTAGCGTTTCTCCTTCATATAGACACTTGAGACATATGGCGTAGACTCTTCAATTGCACAACAACAGCGTCTTTCATCACAGTAGAACTCCTGATGCAGCCAAATGATTTGATTTTATTCTGCAGTGTAATGACTTTGTTGCCAAAAGTCTCAGATTCACATATTTGTCAGCATGTTTTAGTTTACTCAAACTAAATAGCTATATTTAACAGTTAAGCTCATTTTCATTGTTTGTGCATCATACATGTTTGCATGTTTCATGCCCATAAAGGGTTTAACTATGCAATGAAATAACATCATATACAACAGTGGGTCTCAACTGGTGGGTCAGGGAGACATTTTCAGTGGGTTGTGAATGTGTGCCTGAAAGAAATCTGAGTCCAACATTTACAGAGCGCTTCTTAAACATGTTTATTTTGTTCTGTTTTATTGTTCTGTCAAATGTCTTGTACCATCTAAGGCCCAAAAAAGGTACAAGGTCTCATGAAATAAATCTAGTTGGTTGAAAAACTTCAGAAATTGTTGGTGATGGGTTCTGAGTTCTGAGGATGAAACAGTTGAGAACCAACAATAGAATATACTTTAGTTAATGCATCCTAAGATCAAGGCAAAAATGAATGAGCTTTTAATTTACCAGAGGAAATTTAGGAATGTACCCGTTTTGAGGTCGGCACGACCTAATAATATCCAGATTCATTAGAAATACATTTTGCATCCTGGCATTTATTATAACCATTTTGTATGCTTTTGCACGACTTATCAGAACATTACAAATCTTTTTCTTCTTAGATGTAAAATACATTTTTGCAATCATGTACACATTAAGTAAGAGAAGTCAGATTGACTACCCTGACAACAGAAACATGCTGACACCTGTAGAGATGTGTGACATTCACTGGATCAGCTGGTTGCACACAGACAGGCTAACCCTAATAAGAGATTAACATGCAAGACTTCAAAGAGTGTAATACAATGTAACCAAATGTTATTAACGTTTTTAAGTTTACTACAGTCATTTAAAGCAATGTTTCTAGACAACATGCTGTTGTTGTTGTTGTTGTTTCTTCACGTCTCTACTCACATGAGGGTATCCGTCCTGTGCCCTGGCATGTCGGACACGTTATACTATCCCTGCCGGTAAACTCCACGTACGGGAACTGTGCGATATCCTCACGTCTGCTCATCCCATCCAAAGAGTCATTATCGGAGTCTTTGTGTTCTCCTGTCCGACCATTGCTCTGTCTGTCCGGGAGGAGGGACAGGCTGCTGCCGCTGCGAGACAACCGGATCCCCATGGTGACTCAAATCAAGCCAGAGTTTCCCCGCCGACTACAGCTCGCCTGCAGATGGATGACAGCGAGCCATTAAGCCGGAGAAAAAGCTGGGCAAATGTAATCAGCTATGAGTAACAGAGACTCTGTGTTTGTTATTGAAAAGCAGTGAGCATCTCTACCACAGCAGCTTCAAAATCAACAACAACGAAGAAGAACTGGACGTTCTGTTTAAGCTAGTTAGCCAACAGAGATGTTCAACAAGTTGACCGACACAAACCAGCCAGAGACTCGACTGTATCTGTCTGTGTCGTTGTTTACGTCACAAAAACCTTACACAAACTTTACTTACCTTTTGGACAGAACAAGTTAAACGTCGCCATGCTGAACTCGTATTAGCAGAAGCAGCACTCACACCACTCCGCTTTCTGTCACACCAGAGCTGAGCTGCGTTCACGTGGTGTTGGAATAATCGGACAAACTGGTTTCCGACCGTTACAACGCACAACGAAGGCTGTTCAAAGTGAGAACAAAATGGGGAAATACGGAGAAACTTCGAACTTGCTGAGTTGACTTTTTTCCTGAAGGAATATGACAGGGTAAAGAAAACGTTTAATTTATGGTATAAAAAATAACTTATTCGTCACGTATTAAAAATGTACTTTATTTTTTTTCAATTGCAACTTGGTATCACTTTGTTACCGTGTGTGGCTGTCCAGGCACAGTTATTTAGTTCACTTTAGTCCATAGAAATATTATCATTTTGTCTCTGCGTTGTTCCCACATTACGACTTTAAGCTTCTGAGCACACAGAAGTCAGAAGACTTTAGTGATGTGTCGGTCCTGAACGATTCTTTCAAAACGAACGAATCATCTGGGTGAACGAACTGAACTGAATCACTGACTGAAAAGAGTCGTTCATTTCTCAACTTCAGTTGCGCTCTCCTCTCTCCCGTCTCGTCTCTCTCTAGACCGTAAGAGTCTCTCAAAGCCCGCCCTCCCTCTCTCTTTCATGTCAGTGATATGTACTGACTGAACCAACAGGAGGAGTCGGTCGGGAGCTCTGTGTCGCTAAAGCCCGCCCCTACTTCTGCCTCTCATGTCTCCAAAATTGAGGAAGTAGCAAATATATTATTTAACATTTAAGTGTCGCGAAAATGTTTGTGCTTTTTATATCTGCTGTCAGTTTACAAACGGCTTTTATATCCAACTTAATTTCACTCAGCTGACTGTTTTAACATCCACTAACGATCGTGTTTCAGTCAGTACAGTGTGTGTGTGTGTGTGTGTGTGTGTCTGTGTGTGTGTCTGTGTGTGTGACACTGAGGCTGGTGACTCGCAGTCTCGCTCGTTCACGTTCACTGAACGAACTGAACGAGAGTCACTCTCTCCCTCTTCTTGTACTGAACAGAACAGTCGGGGAAAATAAATGTGATTGTTTTAGCAGCTTTCAGTTTACAAACTGTAGATTTATCTAACTAAATTCTCAGCTCATTAGTTTATTATTCACCGGCTGTTCTCAGTACGATCGCGAGCAGAACTAAACGTTCGGTCGTGTTTCAGATTATTAAATTCTGATTCACAGACAGAGCTGCGGAGAAGTACTGAACGATTCGGTGAACGAATCACTTTACTGAACTGATTCTACTGATTCAGTACTCTGAAAAGAACTGCTTTTCACATCACTAGAAGACCCTCGGGAACAGAGACCATCCGAGTAGCACGTGAATGCAGCAATATTATGTTGCCTTCATGTCACCTAGGAACATTCACAATTCAGTAATTCAATTCATAGACTATTATTGTTATTATTATTATTATTATTTTGTTAAAAAAAATATATATTTATTTTTGTGTTGCATGTCCTATTTAGTATAACTGCACAGAATATATAGCCTTGCATACAGGTTTTATTTTTTGTCTCGGACATTTTCTGTTATAACGAGTTAAATTTTCAGAGAAAGAGAAGTCACACAAAAGCGTACCCAACAAGCCAAATTTCTCATGCCTTTATTTGGTTAATCAGTGAAGCACAACAATTAAGATTAATTATTCCGACACTCTGAAATGTATGTAAACGCACCCGTCTGTTTCTCGGTAGTTGGCAAGGGGCAACCTCCGGTCTCGAAAAATGTACAAAAAACTGCAGTTCCTCGAGGTTCCGCTTGAGGCTGGCTGCAGAAGCGCCGGAAGTGCCATAAGCCCACAGCCAAAAAAGCCCGTTTTTACCACAGGAATCAACATGTTTACAGCCTGGTTCAAAAAACGAGATATATCTGAGAAGTTGACGGCCCCTTCTCCTCACACTGTGGGGGGGGGGGGTGAATTTTTTTTATAACTCATCGGATTTTATTCTATTAAGGAAAACGACTATGCCCATATAAGGGTTGTGGCAGATTTGATTGACAGCTCTGCGCGCTGCATCTGTCTGTCAGTCAGCAGGTCAGGAGGCTAACAGCTTGATCCGTCTGATTTCTTCTCTTTTTTACTTCGTTTGGAGAGTTTGTTTAACACATATCTGACAACATACATGGCTTGCTGTGCGGTTAACAGACCATCCAACAAGTTCATGCTTCAGTGATATAGTAGTGTTATATTTACTGCATAATCATGTGTCAGTATTTATATTTACGGACCTAGCTTGTTTAGAGTTAGCTTATAAACCAGTTGGCTAACTGTACTCAGTGTAGCTCATTATTTACAGTCTATGGTAGTTGGATGATAGTTGGCGAGCTCACTGTCGCCCTCTAATGGATCCAGATAATGCATCTATAAAAGACCTCATAAAGAGATAAAAAGCCAACAGAAGTGCTTTAAACAATAAATATTTTTTGTCAACTGAGACTTTATTGTCAATATAATTTTTCCATTCGTCCTTTCCTTAACTGTGATCAATCAACCTGCTTGAGAATTTCCTGAAGAAACATTTTGTGTAAATCTCAAAACAGAGAAAGGGATGTGAAAGAGTATTTTTGTGTTCATGTGTGTACAGGTGCTACACTTTAGATTATTATTAATTTTTTTTTCCAAGATTTATTTTGGGCTTTTCGTGCCTTTAATGCAGAGAGAGAGGACAGTGGATAGATTCAGAAACCAGGGAGAGAGAGCGGGGGATGACATGTGGAAAGGGGCCACGGGTGGAAGTGAACCTGGGCCTACTGCTCGAGACGAGAGTCTCAATGCATGGGACACGCGCCCTAACCATTGTGCCACCAGCGCGCCCCTACACCTTAGATTATCAAGCTTCAGTCTGCTGTAAAAGTTTCCTCTTCAGCTCCTCATTCTCTCTTTGCAGCAGTTTATTCTAAAAGGAAAATTAAAGCATGGTAAATACTTGATATGTTATAAAAGGCACCCCACAGAACATTTGCATATTGATGGAGCTAGTAGAAGAGCCCCTTTTCTTCAGCCATTGATGTTGTATTTTAATTCTGACAGTGAACTAAACAGCTCAAATGTAGAAAACCCTAGAGTAACAACAAAATCAAAGCAGAACTAACCTTATGTCTGAGTGCTTCCACTTTCAGATCTCGGGTTCCCCTGGTGTTTCTCTCAGTTTTTGAAGCTCGGCAGGCGTCCCCGATTAAGGACACCAGCACATGAGACTGAAGAATATTTAGAAATGTGAATAAAAAACAGACTTGCTTCTGTAGGAAATGCATACTGGATGTGTACTGTGAATACTCACAAACTTCGTGCTCTGGAACAGATAACAGTAGTACGTGTCTGCAGCAGGGTTTTGCGCCACAAAGCCAAAGACTTTAGGTGAAGATGGGATCACGGCACAGAAGGAAATACTGGTCAGAGGACACGAGTACACCAAAAACTGAGGGGAGGAAACACAATGAGAACGTGGAATGTGATCAGTCAAGGCCAAAGGACATCAAGAATGAAATAGTATACATCATTGCGCTTATTATATGATAATGAGTAAACACAAACATCACACACCTTGGTTTTGTTTTCCAAAATGTCTATCCCGCTCATTGTCAGGAAGAAATGGACTTTGCTCTTCTTCGCTGCCTTTTCTAAGTTGTGATTCTCTGGTTTCTGGGGATGACAGGGGATTGATTGCATCTTTGAAGCCATCATTATGTAGTTATACATTTTTATAAAACAGCCATTATAGTGATTACAAACTTTCTCCTTCTCTTTCCCAGAGGATTTTAGTCTTTTCAATGCAGTGTCAAATTTAACCATTTAAAAACCTTTTTAAAAATATATCTTTCAACATTAATGAATGACTGAAACCTTTATTGGCCCTCTGGGAAATTGCCAATGGCATAGAAACTCAAAACAAACAAATACATACAGGACAGCACATAAAAACAAAAACCTTTAAAATAAACAGAACAAATTCAAATACATCATTAAAGCATCACATGATAAGAGTGCAGAGTTCATACTGTATGATCAGAACTTATTAAGCTGCTGAATACTGCGTGGTACAAAGGATGTAAGGCCTCTTTTCTTTTAGTCCTCCTCCTGGTCATTCTGTTCCTGCATCCTGAAGTCAAGAGTTCATACTCTGACCACACGGGGTGCAGAGGGTCCGCTGTAATCTAGTTGGCTAGATTCAGGGTGCACTAGTCCGACATTCATTCAGCTGAGAAATGTTCAAACACTATGAAAAAGCTATGCTGCAGTTAGAAAACAGGGACTTTTGTCATGTCATGTCATGTAGGAAGAAAAAACATTAAACTAAAAAGGAAGATTGAGGCTGATGCTAACCTTTAAGTCCTGATTGGCTTCATCCAGGGTCTGCAGTCCACCTGGGTGGCCCACCTTGACTCGGCCAAGAAACTTAAAGTGGAGAAAGAAATACACATGAAACACAACATTGAACCCAACAGGCTGTGCATTAAACTGTGTTTTAAACTTGTGGCTTAGAGCAAATAATAGCCAAAAAAAAGTGGATAACTGAGTGGGGTCTACTCAACACAGGCGCAAGGGCTCCAAGAGTTCATAGTGTCCCTAACCCAGAGCCTCTGCTTATATAACTGTAAACACTGCTTGTAAGAAAATCAATGAAATTGACCTCAAGAAGTTGCTAAATAGCCACAAAGAGACACAAAATAAACAGAAACCCTTGCAAAACACAAAGGGGACTCAAATCGCAACAAAAGACTAAAAACAACAACCAGGACATGCAAACTGACCACGCAGTTAAACAAAAACTACAAACACTGCATGACTACTAACATTAAATATTACTCTGAGCAAGCAGACATTTAATGTGGCTTTTCAATTCCAACATCTCAAGTACCTCACAAGTACTGACATTGCCTGACTAACAGGAGTGTTTACCTTCAACGAGAAGGAGATCTCGTTATCGTCTTCTGAAATGTCGCTCATTGTGACACAGCTGCCGGAAACAAAACGTAACCCTGGAGCGAGATGTACAGATGTGTCTTAGAGATGTTTGTTGTTAAAAACAATATTTAAACCACCTCATCATTTAGAAAACTCCTCATGTGTATCTTACCTTTTGAAAGAGGGACTCAGCTTCTTGTTGAATATCGAAGGCTGCAGTGTAAAGTCTGTTGGAGTTAATCAGTAACGGCTGTTTCTTCCTTATTGCCCTTATCAGATAAACAGGTTGATCCTGGAAATATTTTCAATACACAAAGATAGGTCGACAGCAATATAAGGTTTGAAAATACCATTTGGTGGAAAATATCATTGGTGTTCCTTAAAGAAATACCACACACACACTAGATCTTAAATATTAGTGATTTTTGTCAAAAGTGAAAATGTTGGTTTTGTTTATACTGTTGCTGAAGACAGCAGTTGGTTCACTTTAGAAGCTTTTTCAACCTCTAGTGGTGAGGCTGTAATTTCTTCCCCGAAAGGTCAAAATAGGTCAATCCCATTCAGTGGCGCCATCAAGTGGTGAGGGACAGAAAGGCAGGGGATCGTGGCCAACCTGTTAGAATTTCTCCCCGTATTAGGCTATTTCCTACACTATTCATTTATGTAACATAATAATAAAAAACAAAAGTTTCCAAAGGAGCGGCTGTGGCTCAATGGTGGAGTAGGTTCTCTCTCAACTAGAAGGTCAGGGGTTCGATCCCCAGCTCCTGCAACCACATGTCAATATGTCTTTGGGCAAAGACACTTAACCCCAAATTACTCCCACTGCTCCGTCAGCAGCCTATGTATTTAACTGAATGGATGAATCAATACTGATGGTCACTTTACATAACAGACTCTGCCATCAGTGTGTGAATGGGTGTGTGTGACCAGCGTTGTTAAAACCACTTTGAGTAGAGGTGCTAGTGGCCAAGTGGTTAGGGCGCGCACCCTATGGACCAACTGTGGCTCCTTACCCGCATGTCATTCCCCACTCTTTCTGACTATCTACTGTCCTATCTCTACAATAAAGGTCTAAAAAAATAAAAAAATCTCTGAAGACACATCAACCTTTGAGTAGTCAGAATACTAGAAGGGATCTGCAAATCCATTTACAGAGATACATAATTATTGTTACCTTACAAAATATTCATTTCTGTCAAAGATTTTGCTTTATCTTCACACAGAAAGAGCTGAATAAACAACAACTGTAGTGTTGTGCTATTTTCTTTACTTTTTGTTCTCTTCTGAACCCGATGTTAGGGTTGATGTGTCATTTCTTTACAGTTTCTTCTCTCAGCAACATATTTTAACTTTAAAAAAATATAAATTCAAGTCAAGAATCGAGGTGTTTTGCTCTGACAAGAACTGGAGGCAGCTGGTGTTCATTTAAGTGTTCTCACAAATACAGCACAGGTTAGAAGTTTAAACAGAGAATTAAAAAAACACACAAACACAAAGAAGTTCCATACGGATTGTTTTTAATCTGAGTGCCACATCATCACTGCTCAGTAATATATAACTTGACATATATATTTGCATTAGCAAGATCTTACAATGTCAACGTCTGAGTCATAAGCTGGTGGACAACGTTATGGTCGACAATGATGTCAAGCAACAAATGGTGGAAGATGACGATTGTGGGTTTTAGTCGACGTGAAGCGAAGCCTAAAACACACGGAAAAGTCCAACACCTGATTGTTCCCACTAAAAGTTTAGATTACAGTAAATCTTTAAAGCCAGCAACAGAAAAAACAACAACCGTGTTTTAAAGAGGAGACGAAGAGTTTAGACTCATTATTGATCACTTGTACAAAAAAACACTTTCCAATGATTAGAACAGATCCCCAAACAACCTGGAAACAAACACGCATCATGTGAATAACCAGGAGTTTATCTGCACTACACTCGAGCCTTTTACTGACTCAATGAACGGGGAAGCTGGAAACTCGGACTTTACTGCATTGCTGCTTTTTTATCGGGTTGTTTTAGGCTCAGTGTTGCTGCAGATGTATGTGGAGGACAGACAGACAGGTGGTGAGTGGACTCTGAAGTGAACTGTAGAAGAGAGCACAGATAGATCCCTTTATGTGAATGAGGGGAGGAACAGCTGAGATGATGAAGACCATCCACTCAGTTAGAAACAGACAGCATAGAGCCAGCCTCCACTGTTTGAAGATGTTTCGTTTAAAGAGGCGATATGTGATGGTTATAATCAAGGCTCTATTCCATCAGTTTCTATCTGTTTCGGAGTCTATGAGTCGTTGACGGACATGCTCTCCATGGCGTTGGGCAGGTCTCCTCCCTGCTTCTTCTTCTTTCCTCCTCCTCCTCCATCCTGCTGTTTCTTTGCTTTCTTGGACATCTCCTGATCTATAGGAGCCGGCTTGACAAACTTGATGATCTCCGTCAAACCTGGAGGAGAGAGGGGGCAGAAAGTTCTATATTGGTTACATTTTTAGTAGAAGCTAATTGTTGTCATTGTTTTAATAACGAGAACACGAGATGTTGTATCATCTAGCACTGTTTACCAGGAGGCATGAAGTCCCTGAGCTTCTCTGGGATGACGATTCCCTCTTCGGTTTGGTAATTCTCCAGGATGGCACACATCACTCGTGTGGTGGCACACATGGTTGCGTTCAACATGTGCACAAACTCCGCCTAGAAGACCAAGAGGGAGAGGACGTTTTAGAGGATAAAGCTACAGAAGGAAAGAAAAGCAACAGAGGTGTTCATCAGTGCATCAGCGGCAAACTCACCTTGTCCATCATCTTTTTGGTCTGCCCGAAGCGGATGCGGAGGCGCCTGGCCTGATAGTCGGTGCAGTTTGAGCAGGAGACCAGCTCTCTGAACGCACTGGAGCCGGGGAACCAGGCCTCCAGATCAAGCTTCTTACTGGCTGCATGATTCAGAGCACCTACAGAGACATGCACAAGTCAAGGGTTTAGTCGAGTTAGCGCTCTCAGCTCTGCAGGAAATCAAAACTCGCCTCCTGGTTTCTGTATTTGTACACATGACAAGAAATCCACAGAGAATGATTTTGAGTGACTAATCATTAAGTAAAAACATCTGAACAATAAGAAGAATGCATCTTTCCAAAAGATAAAACTGTCACTTCACATTTTATCTTACAAAAAGAGAAACATTCTGACATTTAAGAAGCTGGACCAGGGACCACTTTTACTTTTTGTTTGAATTAAGGACTTTAAAGAACCAGTGTTTAGGATTTAGTGCCCCCTAGTGGTGCGTTTGCAGATAGAGACCAAGGGCCTCTTTCAGTTTTCTTTTTACATACTTTATTAATCCCTGAGGGAAATTCTGGTTTTACACTCTGTTATTTAGAGACATGCTTCTCACACACATGTACCAACAGGACCTGTGGACCTGTATTAGTGGAGAGATGTCAGAGAGGGGCTGCTACACACTGCTACAAAGGGAGTGTGGCAGAGCTGCTGGGGGTTTGTTGCCTTGCTCAAGGGGGCACCTCGGCAGTACTCAGGAAGTGCCCTGGCACCTCTCCAGCTACTAGACCGACTTCCAGATTTTTTGGTTCACACCTGGACTTCAACCGGTGACCCTTCGGTTCCCAACCCAAGTCCCTACAGACTGAGCTACTGCTGTTGTGTCTACAGAAGGAAGCAACTGTAAATCTGCAGAACTCTACTAAACAAAATGTGTATGTTATTTATTGTGTGTTGTTGTCGTTTCTTTTTATAAAACAAAAGATGACAAAGTGGAGTGCTAAATGAAAAGATCAAAGACAGGACTTTCATCTCAGAGATAAGCCGTCAAAACTTAACGTTGAATCATCATTTAAGTCCAAAGCTATTCAAACTGAAACCCACACAAGGTTTATGTGGTTAAATGTTCACAGTTTGGTTTAATTAAGGCACCAACACTACTCAGCTACATAGAAAACAAACAGCAGCCTCTGAGCTAAAAGAGAAAGAGCCCGTTCCTATGTACACATGTTATTGCAAGTCTATGGCTACCATCTAAATACACCTTGGTCTGTCTGTTCTGCTCTCTGGCAGCATGGCAGACACAACTTCATAATGTCCCTGACTGCTTCAGCTCTTCCAAGGCCGAGTTGATTTAGTCCCTTAACAGTAAGTGAATAAAGAGTAGAAATCTCCTTAAGCGATCAGTGGTTTGTCTGTGGCTCATTCTCTCTGTCCTGCTAAACGCTCATGCTCCTGAGAGAGAAGTGTCAAATAAACTCATCTTTAGAGTCATTTATAAAAAAGGATCAAAGTCAAAGCTCTTTGTGTATCGGATCATTTCAACTACCGATGCACTGACTCACTTTTTTTTCCAGCTCTGATCCGAGTCTGATACATATTTAGTGATACCGACATTTTTATTATCATAACTAATAATGTTATTGTTGGTAACATGTGTAAGGCAAAGCTGTAATAAACCCAGCATTACATTGTGCTGGCTTTGCATACAAACAAGAAGCTGCAACAGCTGACAGGTTTTCAAATTAAATATTTTAAACTGAAGAGTAACAATTGTACTTTTGATCATATAGAAGGAGCAGCTCCATCTCATCTGAACGTCGTCATGGAGACGATTTGTGGACACTTCTTACAGTTCAGTCTGAACGTCTTCAAAGTGGAAATTAGCGAGCTGAGAATTTTTAAAACGGCCATTAATCGTTGACGTGGATAGGCGCCTTCAGTCCGATATCAGGTACGCAAATTACGTCAAGATCGGATCGGTCCCATCTCTAATTTCAACAGCGTCAGAAGTGACCCGGGTTAAAGTTCACTCCATTGTACGCTGGTCAGACTCACCAGAGACGATGTTGACAATGCGATAAGGGATTCCTAGTGACTGGTAAAACTCTTCTGCCGTCTCGATCATCTCATCAAACATCTCCCAGGATTTGCCATCATGTGGGGAGGCATAGACGAACTGCTCAATCTGCAACAAACAGACAAACAACAGCAAAGAAAACTATTAGATACATGCATTTTTATAAGTAGATAGATGAAAACAAATTGTGGGTGTTTATTTGAATGTTGCATTGACTGACAATAGAAATTTTTCATGTGACTTCATTTGCCCCTCGACTGACCTTCTCAAACTGGTGCACCCTGAAGATCCCACGGGTGTCTCGGCCATGCGAGCCCACTTCCTGCCTGAAGCAGGTGGAGAAACCTGCGTAGCGGACGGGCATGTCCTCGGGTTTGAGCCACTCGTCCCTCAGGAAGGCTGCAATTGGCTGCTCAGAGGTGGCGATGAGGTACTTCTCATCGATGGCGTTGTCGTCTGACTTCTCACTGCTCTTACCGATGACCTGAGGTGAACGCACGACGGGTTTCAGACGGAGGTACAGTGGTGAGAAATCCAGTAACAGAGTTTGTGAGGTCATGAAAAACCTCTGCAGGTCGTGGCTATAGACACTGCATCTAGACAAACAGGGATGATGGGTCTTATCTTCTGATGTGGCTGCTGTGCTAATGTTAAAGGGTAGAACAGCGCCCCCTTGTGGCTGATAACCTGAGTGATGTTTCATCATGTCAACAAGTGCCCATTAAGAAATAGTGAAGTACTATAGAAGATTTAGGTTGTGTCATGATAGAGAGAGCAGCCGGTCATATCCTGTCATTCATTTATGATACACGGTTTGTTGTGTGTGAGGGCTGGCTGAAAAGGTAACAGAATGACAAAAAAAAAAATAATTGAGAGTATTTACTGTTTGCATTGTATAACATGAAATGGCAAATGTATGTAAAATAATCTAATAGATTCTCAATGATATAAACTGTTTTCCACTGCTTTGCTTTCCATGAACAGTGAGAGCAACATCTCCAGTATTATCAACATCAGAGGGTCTAGTTTCTAAACACTGATTCTATTATTGTTTGAGTTCCAAACTTCATAAAACATTTGTATCTTATTCTCATATTGTTCAGTGCTGCCCTCTGCAGGACTCTGCAGGACAGAACATTCTCCTTCACCAGTCAGGTTTAACAGATCTTTGCACACATACCAGTAAATAAAAGTTAACTGCAGAAGAGAGATTCAATACACGTTCTGACCTTGTAGAGCTCGTCGTCAAACTGGCTGAGCTGTGCCACTTCCTGCATAACCTCCTTCCTCATGAAGAAGGGTGTGTAGAGCATGGTGTATTTCTTGCTGTACAGAATCCTTAAGGCGTAATTGATCAGAGCCTGCTCCAGAAACACCAGTGGTCCCTGAACGCAACAGAGGAGAGGACATCATCTCAACATTCTTAATATGCAGGTCAGAAGGCAGACAGGCTGTCAAAATTCTTGGAAATTAGGAAAGATAAAAGCTTTAAAAGGAGAAGTTTGTCGCTCGCATGTGACAATACGTATATCTGAACTAACCTTCAGAAAGTAACCTCTGCTCCCGGCCACGACAGCGCCCCTCTCTCCATCAAAGCCATCGATCATGACCACCAGGTCAACGTGAGAGTACTTCTTCTGCACGCTGCAGTCTCCCCAGGTACGCTCCACCCTGTTGTCTGCGTCCTGCCAGGAGGAGAAACAAGAAATGTAAATTTAAGCTTAACTGTTAACAGAAAACATTACTGGAAACTATTCTGGTTATTAGTTAGTGAAATAATTATTAACAATAGAGTAGAAATATTAAAAGTAGCTAAACACCATAAAAAAAATTAAAAAAAAGAAGAACAGGCCTTTAGAGGTCCTTCTGCCTTCATATTCAAACATCATATCTGTTGCAGTGAATTGATGCTGTGATTGGATCATAAATGTCTGCCTAAAAAAAAAAAGTATGCATCCATTATTAGAAAGTTAAGCACAATCTTTTCACAGCGTAAGGCAACATTCATGTTTTTTTTTACAAGAAGGCACTTCGTCTTCTTGATGGCAGTCCAATCAAACTGCAGAGTAAGTATACAAAGCTGAAAGGTTTCTTGCTCTCTGCAAAGTGCACATTCTTATAATTTTGTTTCCTGCACACACAACTATTTAAAGTCAGCCTCTTTTTCCAACCTGGTGTGCATGTTTCAAAGCACTTACCTCATCATTGCTGATGGGTACAGACGGGTGCAGAAGGTTGCCAATCTCCCTCAGGTACTCAAAGCGCTCTGCCTCCAGCTTTATCCTCTCACTGTCCGTTTTCTCCACTGCCTCATCCACGAGCACACGCACCTTCTTGATCTGGGATACTGTGAGGGCCTGACACAGGGAAATACAACAGGTTAGGAGAAGTGGACAAAGAAATTGACCTTTATAGAAAATAAAACGCCCCATAAAAAGAGTTCCAGACGGTCATACCGACAGTGTGTCAGCTGTTAGCGACTCCAGGCTCTGTGCTTCTTCAGGTACAGAATCATCATCTCCAACTGGTTCCTTTTTCTGCAATCACAATATAAAGTATGGTTACCGATCACATCAGGACAGTCATAGATCTCCTCTCTCCTCTACATTACAAAAGACAACAAGCTGTCAGTCATTTAGTGTCCTGGTGGTCTCTTACTTTCATTTTCTCCCCAATGCTCTTGCTGCAGAGGTTCTTAGCTTTGTTGAGGTTGTCTGCAGTGAAGCGGCCTGTTAGGGGGTAAATGACAGTTCATGGGTGTGTGTATATAAGAGAGAGAGAGCTACAGTCGCACAACCAGTAACCTGGTGACAGGTGTTCATACCTATGACAATTCGTCCATATTAAGTAAAAAATATGATAAAAATTAGAAATTAAAAAGCAACAATGTAGTGACAAAATCATTCTCATTATCAGTCTGGATCAAACAGAAACCTTGACTGCACTGCAGGGTGAGGCTGACTTGGCATGTTGTTGGCTGGGATTGCATCAGATTGCACGTTACCGACCGGCTAAGCTAACCGGCGTTAGCACACATTGTGTCTGTGTATCTGTCGAGAACATTATGTGGAAGCTTAGTCGACTAGTGATTGGTAAATATCTATCAGAAAACCTATAAAGAGAAAGTACAGTTGAACGTGGAGGAAACCACATGGCTCATGGACATTTCTTGAATGATGCTAGTCAAGCTAACATTAGCCCCACTGCGGTCTATTCTGTTCCTATGTGAGAACATCAAACCAAACCTCCTTTAAAACTTGTATAAAAAATGTTGCCTAACATTTTGACATAAGTCAGGTCATATACACAGTCAATTCTATAAAGGCTATTAAAACAATGTCAACTGTTGAGTTCGGCATACATGTATTACAAGTAGGGCGATAACATTTAACATGATTTGTTAACTTTTAGAAATGAATCAGCGGCTCCTGCAGTGAAGAGTCCCGTCACCTGGCGTTGATGCGGGCGGAGCATGGGAGATAAAATACTTCTTAAATGTATCTTCTGTACACATTTTTCAGCAAATAAAATCGCCGAAGTATAAGAATTGCTACGCCTATTTCAAAAACATTTCTATATTTGCGAATCAGATGTTTAAGATGGCTTTATTCTCAAAATGAAAAACAGAAATGCAAGATTTTGAATGGAGTTTGGCGTGAGCTCAAATTCTGACGTCTGGCTAACATTAGCATTAGCCACCGCGTTAACGTTAGCTGCTATGACTGAAGCGACAGGAATAAAATGGGCACTTACATTTTCTCCACTCTGTGTCCGCGGCGATAAGTTTGTCAACCAGTGTAACATCTTTAAATCTCTTCCTTTGAGTTTCGCGGATGATTTCTGGATCGCCGCCTTTGTCGGTACGAAACAGGTCCAAGTCGAGCACCATCTTTCCACGCTGTCACAGAGAGCCTGAATGCAGCGCTCACTACGATGACGCCTCCACCGGGTTGCCAGATCTCGGTAGTGAAGTCGCTTCACCGGAATTTCAGTTTGAGTAGCTACAGATTCATTTATGAAACCTGACTTCTTAATTACCTTATCTCTATTTTAAACACCGTTTGAGACGCTAAAGAATAAATTATTTTCAGATATGCTTGATCCCCGACATAAAATAAAATACGATTAAGATTACAGGTTTTCTACAGCCTGGCAACCTTTCTCCTCTCGAGCAGAATCATCCATACAGCAGATGTTATGAATCATCGCATAGTAGGCTATTTATTTGTATGGACTAGAGCAGGTGTTCCCAAACTTTTCAGCTCTAGACCCCCAAAATAAGGGTGCCAGACCCAAACTGTCACAGGAGGTGGTTGAGGCATAATGTAGCACACAGCCAAAAACACACTAATACACAGAGGTGTATTCAATTCAATTCAATTCAATTTTATTTGTATAGCGTCAACTCATAACAAGTGTTATCTCAAGACACTTTACAAAAAGCAGGTAAAATACCTTACTCTTTGTCTGTTAACATTACAAAAGAGCAGGTAAAAAGACCTTACTCATTGTTATGTTACAAAAAGCAGGTATAAGACCTTACTCATTGTTATGTTACAAAAAGCAGGTAAAAGACCTTACTCATTGTTATGTTACAAAAAGCAGGTATAAGACCTTACTCATTGTTATGTTACAAAAAGCAGGTATAAGACCTTACTCATTGTTATGTTACAAAAAGCAGGTAAAAGACCTTACTCATTGTTATGTTACAAAAAGCAGGTAAAAGACCTTACTCATTGTTATGTTACAAAAAGCAGGTATAAGACCTTACTTATTGCTATGTTACAAAGACCCGGCCTATCCATCATGAGCACTTTAGCAAAGCAGCAAAAGTTAGTGGTAAGAAAAAAAAAAAAAAACGTGCACGACGAAGTGGGTATAGGCTACTCTTCATTTTTCCCCAAAAGTTTCTTTTAAGTGGCCTGTCTGCCAAAGGACAAAAGGCCTCTGTTAAAAATAGTGACTTCTTCAGACTGCTCTTGCATATTTATTTAGTGCGTATTAGCCAATTAGAGACAGAGTAGAGATGGTCATCTCTTCATCATCCTAGGAAAACAATTGCAACATACTACAAAATGTTGTCAATAAAATCAATGGTGTGAATCAGAGGAAATTTAGAAGTGGGTATACTCTATGGAGATTGAAAAATAAAGAAAAATAAGCATACTCCGTATACCTGCGTATACCCTGCACTACACCATTGCTAATACGACCACCACTACAACAGCCTAAAACCCACAACATTATAAATATTGTAATGTATTGTAAGAAAGGCTAGAAGCAGGATACAACTTATTCCCACGTGTAGACTTTAACACAGTGAGTGAACATGCAAAACACAATTCACACAGTTGTGTTCATCTTTATTTGTAACATGCAGCAGACACCTTCCTTCTTGCTGTCATGTTCAAACTTACATTATAAGATTTTTTTACACGTTAATTTAATTTTTATTTTACTTAATGATATGGTTACTGGAAATTGAACTACTGCTTGTGTTGTTCATTTTTTACAGTTTTAAATGATTTATTATTTTTATTCTGGGTTTTTTTCGGAAGGCATCTCTTGACCCCCCTCTTGATGGCTCCTGACCCCCACTTAAGGATCCGCTGGGCTAGAGGAAACTTGTTTAGATCTGATTTCATTAGATGACAAGATGCATGAATTGTTTTTCCCAAAATTTTACAAAAATATAATTTATAAGATGCACAAAATGTATCAACATCAGCATGAGTTTATAATGGAAAGGACATTTAAATGCATCCGTATGAATATCAGAAATGCACATGTATGAATAAACAATAAACAATAAACAATAATGTAAACATGCATGCATACATTGTTTAAAATGTACTTCACAGCAAACATTCTCAAAGAATAACTTCATTACCTCATATATGAAATTTATAGTTTATATACAATCCTGAAATACATGTTTCAGTTCCTCGTAGCTTTTAATTGACATCAAAAATAAAATATAAAATATAAAATATTTTAAAATATATTTAAAAGAATAATATAGATGTGGTTGGTTGGTTGTATTCTTTTAAGGGTACATTAGCAGCGATAGAAGGTGTACTTGTCCCCCTGTAGTTGTGAGCTTATGCATCTTCTTGCCTGGCAGCAGTTTGTGTTGATCATGAATGTCTGTTTTTCAGGCCAACATTTTTTTTCTATGCCAAGGACCACCATAAAGTCAGGAACCATGGATTTCTATTTTCCTCCCTCTAGCGGCACCTCTTTGCCCTCATTTCCATCCCCACCTCCAGGATAGCCCTCTGCAGAGCTGCTCCAGCAGGTAACTTAGTAAAGCCTTCCTCTGAGATGTTGTTGATCTTCAGGTACCCCCCCGGCCTGTGAAGAGCCACTTTGTGGAGGTGGGAGAAGAGCAGCGGTAGGTCTTTTGTCAGCGTGTAGTGAGACACCAGCCTCAGCTCAGTTGGGACATCTGTCTCCTCAGAGTACTCAAAAATGACTGACATGTATTTTGAAAGGTCCCGACCCCTGGCTTTGGCTCGGCCCACCTCCTCTCCGACAAGCTGCACGGCTGTGTCGGAGCTGAAGGTGTTGGACTCAAAGTCACAAAGTTCTCCATCTTCGTCTTCGTCTTCATTGTTGTCTGGCTCTGGAGGCTTGGGTTTGATGTTGAGGCCCGGAGAACAGATCACCATGATGAAGTCGCTCTCCTGGATCTGCCGACAGTACCAGGCCATACTGCCCTCCCCGGCCACGCTCAGAGAGTCCCACAGATCCAGACACACCTGGGAAGAAAAAGGAACAAAAGTGTGTAAACTTCATGATCTGTTAAATCCCACCGATAACTTAAATGAAGAAATTAAACAAAGTAATAGAAAATATGACTATTAAATTAGATCCATGCTACGTCCATTACCTGAGTGGCCATGTACTGTTGTATAAAAGACCCTAACTGCATGACAGCTTTGATAAGAGCGGGGCCATCATTGCTGCTGTAGCAAATCAGAAGACGAGGAGGGGTCTGTCGACCTTGGGGCAATGCCAACATCTCCTCCTGTGTCCCACTCTCTTGATCCTGCGTGATGAGATCTGCACGGATGACGCAAAGAGAAAAATGATATGTTATTAACATTTTTGAAATGTAAACAGTCAATTTACATAAAGGATGTTTGTTTGTTTGTGTACCTGGCTTTATGTTCAGTCTCTTCATGTGCAGTTGGGGCCTCCTTCTAGTGAGAGCAGCCAGTAAAACTACAAGTATGGCTGCCACAGCCAGGCCGAGTGGAAGCATCAGAGCCATGGAGGGTGAGACCGAGAGTGGAGGGGTTCCTCCTGAGGGTAAATGAACAATTTAGTAACAGATCTGCTTCAAGGAATATTTGGACCTTTAGGAATCACAATTATCTATTGTACAATGAGAAGGTACCAGTGTCATGTCTTTAGGCCAACAGAACTGGGGGTAATTTAGCTTAGCTTAGCATAAGAACTGGAGGCAAAAGAAAATGATTTTAAAAAAAAAGAAAGACATCAGAAAAGACAAAATAAAAGTATTCTTCAAAATGGTGTGGTATTGCTTTGTTAAGGTTAAAAAACAATTGGGATTAAATACATGTGTACACAAGATTCTGTTCAAAACATAGGCTGTTCATCCAACTCACACTTTGTACATCCACAAAGATAAATAAGTACAACAAAATCAAACCCAATACCTTTTCTTATTCGTAGCACCTGGACATTGAATTTTCTCCTCACTGCATCCACCTCGTCAGCTGCAATCTGTGACACAAGAATGTTCAAAAGGAAAGATCCTTTTTGAGTTAGGATATTGTTTTATGACCCGACCTCTCCGCCAATGACACTTGGGATCGACTCCAGCTCCCAAGTCCCCAAACTGGATAAGCGGTACAGATGATGAATGGAGGGGAATTATAGTTAAAGAGGACATGTTATCCCCCTTTTCCACCTTTTCAAACAGTCTCCTGTGGTCTAAATGAAACATCTGTGCTGTGCTTTGGTTAAAATATAACATGAATCAAGCACCAGAGGAGGTTTGTGACCCTGTATAAACCAGCTCTCTCAGAACGCTCCGTTTTGGTGTGTGTGTCTCTTTAAATGCAATGACCCCCCCCCCCCTGAGTTTTCCTCAAAATAATTTGTTTTCAATCATGTCACAGTTTTTCTACTGTGTTGCAATTAAAAGTTCAATTTAGAGCAAAACTATGCTTTTTTGTATTTTATTTTGATATACAACAACCTTTTATAGAATCAGAATCAGCTTTATTGGCCAGGTATACCCACACAGAACAATAAACACAAAATAGGCAAAGGCTGATATATACAATATAAAATGTAATATGTACATTTAATATTAGTTATTCAGCACAAAGCCAAAGTTTTTAAGCATAAAATCTATATAGTTGGTTGTAGTTTTATGAATGTGTTCTCATAAACATGATTTTACCTCACAGGTGTAGTTGGTTTCTTCTTGAAGGTCGGTCAGCTGAAAGCTGTGATGAGTTTTGTTCTTGTAGGAATTCTAAAGGAAATTAAATGAATGATCAAAACCATTGAAAAATATATGAACTTCTAAACATTCCCATGATATAAATAACAGACTAGAGTTATTAACAAAACTGCAGATCTAGATCTGAAGTAGAAGTTGAGAGCACTCACAGGGGTTATGTCTATGTATTTCTTCTTGCCGTTAGCGTAACACAGAGAGAAGTAGCTTCTGATGCCCAGGTTTGGAGGAGCGAGGTTAAAAGTGACTGTGATGGCACTCCCTTCCTGCTCCACCTGGATGTGTTGTGGATACCAGTCTACAAAATAAAACATGGACAGATGAAAAGATAATCTTAAGAAGAAACATCAAATCATCAGAAGACAGCACCTGACGTTTCTTTGGAAACGCTG